GAAGCGCACAGAAGAGCAACGCCGCCGGCCGCGCCCCGCCCCTTTGTGACACCCACCCAATCGCTCGCCGCCGCTCACGCTGCCCTCCAATCAGGCCGGGCCGCCGGCGCCGGCGGTTGCTGGGGAGCCGGCGCTCCCCGCGTTCCGCGGCGGCTGTCGGTTAGGAGTGGCCCGGATGTTGACCCTTTATTACTAAGCAGACACCTGACCAGCGCCCAGGCGGGCGGCCGGAGACCGCGCACGGGCTGCCGGGACGGCCGGGTGGGCCGGTAGGCGAGGGGAGCCCCAGGCCCCCGGGGCAGGTTTCCGGAGCCTGGGCGGTTCCAGCGTCCCGGCCTGCGGGCAATATGCGACCCGCATATTCTCTCCCCTCACATTCCTGCAAAGTTGTACTGAAACCCTACTTGACAAAAGAACAAATAAAAGCTAGGAAAGGAAAACAAATGGCCCAGACTTAAGTCTCAAAAAATCTGAACCTGTTCCACTAGTCTACTCTGCTTCCAGATTTCTGCCTTATTTGTAAAATGAGGACATTACCTACCTTAGTTACAGAGACTGAATAAAGGAACATGAAAAGCGCCTGCCGCAGGGCCAGTAAATGTAAGTTCCCTTTCAAACCTCTCAAAATAGCAATTTGCATATTTTCTAACTCTCTCTATTCCTAACTCTCCTGAATTCCCTGGAATCAATCCTAGTGGCAGATCAGATTTGATCACTCTAACAGAACACCATGTTTGACAAATGCTCAACGAGTCAGACAGCACAGTGGGCTCGGACTCAGCGGAAGCTACACAAATAACCAAGGGGCAGAGGCGGACGGACGCACGGACGCAGGGCGCCGAGGCCAGCAGCTGCTGGGCGGGAGCCGCACAAAACCTGTCACTACACGATGAGCGATGTTATAGCGCCCGAGGAGGACGGTGACGGCTTCAGGGCTGGTGACGCCGATCTTGCCCACAGGACGGTGCCACTGTCACAGACACTGCGGAGCACCGCGATGGCACGCACCGGAGAACACAGGCGGGGCGGGCAGCCCTCCCCGTGGCCAGTAGCTGCCGCAATGGGCACCGGCCACAGAACACTCCGCAAGTGCAGAGCTCCAAGGAACTGCGCCGCTCTAGAGGCTGACATCTCCAGCCTCCGTACTCCCCCTGCAATTACCTGGGTTCATTCTGCATCTTTTACAAAATGCAAAGCTCCAAGGAATGGAAATGGATGTCTGAGAGCAAGGATCAGCAAAGTATTTCTGTAAAGGACCAGATAGCCAGTATTCTAGGCTTTGTTGGCCATCCAGCCTTTGTCACTACTCAATTCTGGCATTACAGGTAGGGTAAAACAGCCACAGACAATATGTAAATAAATGGGTATGGTTGTGTTCCAATAAAACTTTATTTTCAAAAACATAGTGAAGGGCCATAGTTTGTCAAAGCTTCCCTTAGCGGACCTGTAGAGATATTAAAAGAAACCTCAGTGGAATCAGAGGAAACCTTCTCTCCTATTGCAAAGACTCGTGAAGTAGGTAATCTCTCGGCCTCTTCCTCTATCATCTGCCCAGGCTCTAAGATGCGGCTCCCGTCCATAAATAAGGAAGCCTCCTGGTCATCAGTCTGGCATTTGCTTGCCACCTCTGGGATTCCTTGCCCACCCATGAAAGGCACAAATAAGTTTCTTCCCTAATACACCCTAAATAATGATGTGGCTCTACCAAGGCTAACGAAATTAAAAGTTTAAAAAAAATACACTGTGAAACATTTATTTTTGTTTTGCAGTAGTAAGCACGATTAAAACCAGTGCAGAAAAATACAAAGTGCATTTGGAAAGAAGTGAGTGCGCTGTTTCAGTATTTGCTTCTTATAATTCAGTTAAGACAGTGAACAGATAAGACAGCATTATTAACTCAAGGACGCAGCTGAGGAGTGAGATGCGATACCCTGTATGCTCTATTGGCCTCCAAAGGCATTCAAAGGATCATCAAATATGTTGGCCACCTTCTGTTCATTTCTTGGTTCAGGTGCTGCCTGTGAAGATCGACTTTTTGGTTTGGTTGTCTTAGCCTGGATACCAGAGGAGAAGATATCATCTTTAAAAAGAAAGAAAAAGAATTGCTAAATAGGCCAACATACAAGCAAGCAAAACAGCTGTAAGATACATCTACACAAACCCCCAAAGACTCAAGTCTGGTAACAGAATGGGGTACCAAAAAACACTAAGACAGAGCCAAGCCTCTTAGATTCTGATCCTGGCTCTGCTACTAATTAAGTTTTATGATCACATACAAGTCACAGGTTCTCTCTGAAGACCATTTTCTCAGCTACGATGGTATGTGTGTGCACATGTGGGAGAGGAAAAAGGGAAGAGGAGCTGCAGCTCCAATCCAGCCCCTGACTTTACTATCTGGGGCATTATACTTATTTCAACATTCTTTCCCCACTGGATTTTAAAAGGAAAGGGCAATAAAAATAAGCAAAAGGAAATCCAACATAGAAGTCACCCTTCTTCAGAATAAATGCATCTATCTGAAGCATCTCAATCCTAAATCTTTTTGACTACATCGTGTTTAGTGTTTCACTAACTCTAGTGTTTCATGACTCATCTTACTCAGTAACTTTACTAACCCAGTAATGTTACTGGTAGGATTCTATCTTACAGAGATTTTATCATGAGTAAATATAGATATGCACACACAAATGTTAAATACCATGGCATTACCTGTCACGGAGAAAACTGAGAAACAATCTAGGTCACCCTCAAAGGCTAGAGGCTAAACACAAAGCAGTACCACACACCCACTGAAAACAGGGGAGCAGATCCCTACTGACATAAGGCGACATTTAAGTGACTAAAAGGAACAGCAGAATAGGTAAAGTACAATCTTATTTTGGAAAAAGTAAGTATATAAACCTGTAACAAGATCAGCATACCTGAAAGAATACAACCTAACTCAATAATGGTTACCTCTAGGGTTTGTTTTCCACATTTTACATTTTCTAAATGGTATTAACCTATCATAACAGGTATATATTACTTCTTTTGTAATAAAGAAAGTCTCTCTGCACCCCATGTAGTGGGAAGCAGATGCAGACAGAGCACACCAGCTTTCTACCAGTTAACCCCAGGTTTCGACCTGGGAGAGAGAGGGAAGGGAGCAGAAAATATACATCTGGCCTCAGCCCAAGTTCTACCAACACACAAGTCATTTCAGAAGCCCTACATTTAGGGTTATGAGGCATTTGGCTTGCCCATTAATGGAGCTGTTACACCATGGAGTGAAAATGAGCATATTACAAACACAGATCTTTGGTGAGATGTAAAGTCTGAGTTATAACCTGCTTTCCTATTTAGTCCTGTTCTCCTCCTGAACTGCCCTTCCATTCTCTGAACACTGACACCCCTTCTCCAGCTAGAACTCTGACTTAACCAACTGCATCATGCCTGAGGCAGAAACCTCTGTCAACTTGACATGAGGGGTAGTTCTGATCCTCCTTTCATAACATCAGAGTGTTCAGACTTGTCAGAGATAACTGGCAGGGGGCACAGTAAGATAAAAGTTAAATTAAACTTAAAGGTCGAATTCTGGGCTCCTTCAAATCCTTGATTTCCATCATACCTAAAAGCTATTTCACCAAAATGATAGTCCATCTACTTATCCATCCTCAGCCTAACTCCAGATTACACAGCAAGCCAAAGGAAAACCACTGGGGAACATTTTCCAGGAGCAGGCCAAGATAAAGGTATCAGGAGAAACACTAAGCCACTGAATGGTAATATCCTCTGTGTCAAACCATACTTACCCAT